AGATCAGTTTTTACAGTTTTAATGCACTTGTATATAAAAAAAAAACATAAATCTGCAGGACTTAATTTTTAATTACTCAGTTGTACATAATAATAATAAAAAACACAAAGAAACAAATGTTTCTCTTCATCAAATAAATTGTTTGTGTTTGTTTTTAGTGAAAATGAGCGTCATCACTATATTTCTTCCACAGTGCCTCTTTTCCTTTTTTAGGGGGCGGGTTATGATGTCACACATGTTATCATTCTTATCATCATCCTAATGATCTACAGACTAATGCAGCCACAGGCATGAGAGTGTTAAATGTTCCCAACCAGTCACATGACCATAGTTTAAACACTAATTATAGACAACCTCTCTGAATTAACTGTAGTTTGGCTATTTTAAATTTTAATTGTGACTCTATGACAGCTGTGCAGACCACTAAAGCATCATCGATCAGCACTTCTGGTTGTCACCTGGAGCGCTGACATTCACAGCACGTATCCTTGTAGAAGGCATGAGCTCCTAACGCTTCAGCTGGTTGTAGGCTCAGAGAACTGTTGGTCTTGATAATTTTATGAGACCCTCACTTAAAAAAGCAGCTCCGCTGTGAACATTATTGTTAGAACGCAGGTAAAAGCGGACATGAGGTCCACGTGCAAATATCTAGTAATTAGTCCATTTCGGATGAGACATTTCTTTACTTTTAAATGAATGAGTCATCATTAGTTAAAGTTTTTAAAAAGAATAAGTTAAAACCCGTGATTATTGCTTTAGTGAACGATGTGGTCATATTCTACACTTATAACCCACACTGGTAGCAAATGGTCCTCCTGAGGGAAAGCACAGTGCATTAGTAAAGCAACTGGCCACATCTGATGAATCTGACAGCAGAACATGAAACGTCCACGTTGAGACTGATTTGTAGGACTCACAGCAGCCAGCCAAGTGATTACTGACACCCTGGTGTTCTTTTGCATGACAGAACATGGAAATCTTACTCATCCAAGTTGTCCTTCGGTCTGAGGCCAGTGGTTCTCTTAGGGGCTTTTAAGCACGACTGCAAAGTGAGCAGAACTAACACGTGTTCTAAAGAGACGGTTTTTTCAAAGTTTTTAATGATTCCATCCTAACACCACTTGTTAAGCTCATAACCAGGTTTTTAAAAACCGGGTTATTAACCCTGGGGTAACCCTTCTCTAGCCTGAATATCAGGTCATGTAAACTCGTATCGGATAGCCCTTTCAAAAGGAGCGCTCTGCGCATGTTCTGTTCGCAAGGACTCTTGGTCTTTTGAGTATATCAGGGGTCGGCAACCTTTTCCAATCAAAGAGCCATTATTACCCATTTCCCACAGTGAAGAGAATACTGGGAGCCACAGCAGCGGTGGCATTGTGGGTGGGTCTACCGGGCCTGAGCAGGTGCTGCTCTTAATGCATCACACATGTCTCCTTTTAACACGTTTAAACTGTTCAGAATACAAATCCAGGCTCTGGTATGTGGTAACTAAACTTTGTACTCTAAAGCCCCCTTCAGACAGGCCATGAAAAACGGAAATGTTCCGGACTCTGTCCGTAAGACCTTTGTGTCTGAATACAAACATCCAGATAACGTGTTCCGCAATTTATCCGGACGAAGCCCCTAGTAACAGGTCCGGACTTGTTACGGACAGGGTGGCTGATTCAGACTGGTGAGGTAGAGTTCCGGTGTCGGTACAGTATCTGCTCGGGTGCAAGATCGGCTCGGGGTCCTTCGACTGCCGATGACGTCAACGTACGGCAAACCCACTCGGACAAAATACACTACACATCTATACTGTTGGAAAGAATTTAGCAGTTTCGTTATTAAAATAATGTTTCTTAAGACGTAAGTTTGTGTTTATAATGGTATTTGTAAAATAAAACACTATATTTGATTCATGTTGAACTCCTCTTTGAGCACATCCCTTGAAGGATCTTATGGTATTAGCAACACCTGTGAAATTGTATTTGCAGGAAAGAAGTGTGTCCCGTTTATTGAAGTATTTTGTGTTTAGAGTTTTTGACGTCTTGTCCATGCGTAGTTCAGTTACGCTCATAGCTGCTAGCCAAAACTCTGGAGTTAAAAGTTTTCTGGCTTTACTAAAATACCTGTCTGTACTTATTTGATTGATGGTAGTTTTACTTTCTATTAGACTCCAAATGTAATCATTTGGCACGTTTCTAATTCATAATTTGTAATAATGTAATCGGCGATATTAGCATTAGCATTCCTATGGGTTTTTCCATGTATATTAGCATTGCGCTAACCACTCGCTGCCAAATTGCAGCCTTTGCCATTAGAAAATCTCCTTTTGTCACATCGCAATTTAATTACACATGCAGTTAATCGTTCAGCCCTAATATACATGCAGCTCTATGCTAAAAGTGTATTTTCAAAGAGGTAATGATGGATTTCTTTGTAAAAGTTGTCCATCTTTGCAACAGAAAAATTTGCCTGGACCAACGTAACGTGATAACAACGTTACGTGATTACGTAATTCCGTAAGGTTCATGTTCAGCCAATCAACTACTTAGACGTCATCGGCAGTAGACGGACCCGAGCCGATCTTGCACCCGAGCAGATCTTGTACCGACACCGGACAAGGGGGAGGGGGAGGAGGAGGGGACCGGGGGACGCTGTGCGCACCCAGATAGCTCGCTCCTGTAGCATGCGACGAACCACGACAGCTCGCCTCCTACGGTACCGCCTAGACGTGCGACGGAGCGCTTCACACCGCTTCAGTGATTCCTTTAACCATTGAGCTTCATCATCCAGGTCTCTTATGCGTCTTCGTGTGCGCAGAATTATGCTTAAGCGCCTCGTGATTTTTATCTTGAGAGGCGCTATAGAAATGATATTTTCTTCTTCTTCTTCTTCTTAACATGAGTCAGATTCTCTCTCCCCCCACCCCCACCCCCCGCCGCCGTCAGACATCTGGAACTTTTCCCTGCTGTGTGAACGCAGCCGAAAGGACAAGTTCCGGTACAAAAGTGGTGTGTCTGAAAACACAGTTCCGGTTAAAAACCGGATTGAATTGTCCACAAATGTTCCAGAATGTCTGTCTGAAAAGGGCTTTAGAAACTTTACATTAAGCACTTGAAAAGGTAAGAAAACGATCCGATCAATTCATCTTTCCCCTCATAACGGAGATAACGCCGCAGTGCACACATGGCTCTGGTGTTAAACAAGTTTAATTGTTTCTTTTTGCAAAAATCTTCACAAGAAGGCAAAACAATTAAAAAGCAGGGTTGGCATTGACTCTCTCCTTAGACCTCTGAGCTTCTGTAGCAGCTCTTCTCTGCTTTTATGGCAGTGCTGTTTCTCTATGTCAGTCTGATAGTAGCCTACTGATTCTATGGTCAAACTAATTTTGTTTAATATCCCCATCAGCTTAAACAACCAATAAACAGCACAATTCAGCCTCCTGTTGATGAAGACTTTACCTTCAGTTAATTAGCACTAGAACTCCAAAAAAGGACATTTAGACTGGTTTCTTCTTTTGATGTGTGATAACTTTAGTTAGGTGGATCTCATGGTGTCCAGGCTTTTCCTATTTATGTGTCCTTTAGTGTTGCGTCATCATTTCCATAAAATTGTCATGATCCTGCCATGCCCTGACCTCCATGCACCATCATTCATCTCATCAGCCTTCATTCATCACACCTGGTCCCCTCATCAAGCTCATGCCACATGCATGCCTCCCCTGCTATATAAGACAAACCACTGCCAGATTATTGAACGCTCTCGCTTGTAGATCTTCCAGTCTTCCTTCATGCCTGACCCATCGATCATCGACCTTGTTTCCCTCCTCCACCTCGCTTCACGTCTGACCCTCACCTGGAACCCTACCTGCATTCACTGCCCACGTCTGTCCTCGACCACGTCTCTCGCCTGCTCCACTAAACTGTCTCGTATCATCCTGGTCCTGACCGACGCCTGTCCTCGACTCAGCCTCTCGCCTCCTCCACGGACCTCTTACAGATCTTTCTGGTTCTGACCCACGCCTGTTCCCGACTCTGTCTCCAGCCTCGCCCTCCACGGGTAACGCTACATGTTAGCTTTTGCTAATAAAGACTTTTAAAGCGCCTTACTGTGCCTCGGTGTCCTTACGGGTCTTCAAGTTCAGTCGTTACAAAAATAAAGTATCAAAAGAGAAATATAGCTGTTTTTGTCTTCGTCTCCCACAAGCCGTCAGTCTGATGGCCCTATTGTTTACATGGTAAAGCTTTCCTGCGGATGATGGACGTCACCATTGCTGAGCAACCAACTTTGCAGCTCATGCGTGTTCACTCTCCATTGAAAGTCCGTGTGAAATAGCAGCTAAAACAGCTTTTAGAAGAACGTTCTCAGTGAAACATGCATCAGAAATGATGCTGCTTCAGGCGGAGAGGGGGAAGCTGATGAAAACTGGTCTGTAGAAGCAGCGGAGATTCTGACAGCAACGCGGATCTCCGACCCCTTTCCCCCCCTCGCACGGAAAGGAGCCATGTCGGTCACACAGGGAACAATAGAGAGAATTATTTTCAAGGTGTGGATTAAAACAATGTTTTCTTAGCATATTTTTAGGTTCACTCATCCATAATGAGTTTATTATTAGAGCACTTGAACTGTTTTGCTCCACCACGTCATCGTCAGCCTGCATTTGTTGGCCGAAATGAAAGCAGTCAAACTGACGGTTACGGATCATTTGGAAGTTAGAATTTTGGGAGTTCTAGTGTTAAAAAATGGACTATTTTGAGTTTAATATTCTGCTACAAATACTGTTCTTTCAAGATAAATCCTGCACCAAGGTTCTTTCTTTGTGTTTTCAGGGAATCATGTTGTGCTCTTATTTTGAAAAGCTACACTTCTCAGTTCCAAGTGACCTTTTAAGGAATGAACCAGATGAAAACTTGGTATGCGTTTGTAATCAGAGTTAATGGTAAAGGTTGGCTAATTCACGCGCTCTAAGAAACCACTCCAGTCAGCACTTGGAGCTCCACGCTGTCAGCACCCACCTTGGAAGCTCTTGTTGATTCCCGAAGGGAAGGCGTTTCCCAGCATCACAGCTGTGGGATCAATGATGATTTCTCTACTTCTGCTCCATGTTCCCGTCACCTCCCGCTGTCCTCCTCCACCATCAAGTCTCAGAGTCAACTCGTTGTCATGCCGATCAAAGAAGACCTCGTGCCATTCGCCATTGTCAAGGCGATAGCTGGGTAGAGTTAGGTTGTAGTTTCCATCGCCGAGGTTGTAGAAAATACAAAGGAGGCCCTGAAAGATCTGCACAAGGAAAAGAACATGTTATGTAGAACTTATGAATAGGACATCTACCTATCTCCAGCTGTCCTCGGGTGAGAAGTGGGGGACACTTGCACAGGTTACAGTTCCATCACAGGGATAAACAGGAAGTATGTTCCATAATTTGCCACTAAATAACAGGTTAAACGTTTAATCCCACTTGGTCTAAGATGAGGGAACTGCATCAACAGTCATACATTTCCTAAAACGCTGACCAACACCTTAGCCGAGGAAAACAAGGAATCTTCTAATGAGTTTAGATTTCACAGCAAAACAACAAACAAGACAACGAGTGAGTCACATTCAAGATCAGATCTGTCCTACTTGACTCAGTCAGCTGATGATTGGCTCACTGATCACTGATTTACTCTTTTTTTCTCAGACCATTGTTAACTCAGCTGAGATTGTTGTGTAAATGTTCTGTTTCAACCCCACAGAAGTCATGTACAACTCTTTTGTGGCAGGTTACCAAGTCACATGGACCACATTTAGGGATGGGTACTGAATTTGGTACTTTTTAAGGTACCGACCGAATTCCATAGTACCGACCGAGCACCGATTCACGTCATTTCAAACGGTGCCTCGTTTCGGTACCCGTCCTTCATAACGAGAACTTGCCAAGACAGCTGCGCATGCGCAAGAGCGTTATGTCATCGGTTCCTGCGAGCGAGTTGTAAACAGAGCAGCATGGTAGAAAGAACGCACGCTAAAGCTTGGGTCCACTTCACTAAATGGGGTAACTGGGTGATGATGAAACCAGCGACAACGATCTGAGTGAGACATCCTCATCTTAATCTGCTCCGGTAGGTGAATAAAATGTTTAAGATAACGTTACCTTGATATGTTAGCTTCCGTTTCGCTAATGGTGCGTTCGCTTTCTCCTCGGAACTCCGAATTCCTGACTAGAAGAACATGCGTGTGTGTGTGTGTGTGTGTGTACATTGAAGAACACTGGAAAAGCTCTAAAGTTTGGCTTCACTTTACTAAATGCGACGGGTGATTGGGTGAAGATGAAACCAGCGACAACGATCTAAGTGTGAGGCATCATCGTTTTAATCTGCTCCAGCAGTTAAATAAACTGTTAAAGATAACGTTAGCTTGATATGTTAGCTTCCATTGCCACCATTGTTATCAGCTAATGGTGCGTTCGCTTTCTCCTCGGAAATTCTAACTTCCCAGTAGGAAAAATCAATTTATCGTGATATTTATCAAATATTGTTATATATTGAGAAAAATATATATTTAATAATAAACGAGAGTTAAAATAATAAACACTCAAAAGTATCGAAAATTGGTACCGTTAAGTACCGTTATCGATTCGTAGGTACCGGGAATTAGTACTGGATCGCTTCAAATGTCAAAGGTACCCATCCCTACATATGATGCAAATGCCTTTTTACAATTTAGTAGCAACATTTTATGAGTATCCTAGTTTATTTGTAATTTACCCCTGACTTCAATTATAACGGGGCCACTAATTCTTTCCAAAGTCTCAGATTTAAAACTGAAATTTGAAAACTGAATGTCAAGAAACTCAAAAGAGTTTGAGACATGAACCAGAGCACCACACACACACACACACACACACACACACAAGAAAATCACAACCAAGACAAGTTCCTGCGTGTCATTAATGAATTTAAAACTCCTCGTAAACATTTCAGGACATTGTGGAAACTTCTACATAAAGGCCAATAAATATTTGCCACCGACAGGAGCAACCATTCGATTTTTGCTTCAAGAGAAAAAAACACACCATCTCCTTTAAACTAACTTCAGATTTCCACTTTGTCCCTCAGAAGCCTGACAGCCTCTTGCACTTCTCTGCCCTGGCGTTTACTTTTGATCTGCATTTGTGCTGAGAACACATGGAATGATTGTGGCTGGGGCTTTCAAATAATAAACCTAGTTCTTGTCAGACCCACACCTTGAACTTGATTGGTTTCAAGCTCAGCTGTCTCCTCTCAAATCCACATAAAGACCTCCGTAAAGCCAGGAAATAGTTATTCATCAAATGAGAACGAGACCAACCTCCAGTTTCCTCTCAGCTCAGCTTGTCCGACAGTCAACATAATGCTGAGCAATGCCTTTCATTACCTCTCATAGCAATGCCTTTATGAGTTTCATTATATATGACATCCATCTCATAAGTGAGACGTATGCACTGCCAGGTGGACAGCCTGGTTTGTGTTCCACTAAATTGAATAGCTTGAGTTGAGCCATCAACATGTTCTTTAGATCACACGAGGGCACCAACAACAGACCTCTCCTCTCTGATGGTCCTACTCTATAGGCTACACACCACAGCTCTGGGGGCTCCAGCACTCTACAGATGTACTTCATTTTAATTAAACCTCCGAACAAGAATACTAAGAGCTAGTATTTGCAGTTACACGTGATTGCTAAGTACATTGTAGAATAGAACTAAAACAGGTAAACGTCAGAGAAAAACGCTCTCTTTGGTGCTAAAAGCAGACGTGTGTCGATGCTTGTCCTGTCACATGTTGGTTGTGCCTTTAAAAGCCATGTTTATCACTTAGGACAGATACAGAAACATGACATTTTAATAGAAGGAACCAAAACATGAATTATTGCTAAAACACATGCTGGGCATTAGGGTACAAAGCACTTTTTACAGCAACCAGGATTTTCACATAGTTCTGGCTGACAGCCATCGAAAAATTTCAGAGAAACAAGAAACTCGACATTTTCCTCTACTATCATTGAGGAATGTGGCAAGGTGGAGAAACGAGGGCCCGGGCGGGATTCGATCCCCAAACTCCCGGGTGAGAGTCATACGCTCTAACCAGTCAGCCAAAGGGACATCCCCTTGGCCAAGTAGCCAGGGCGCATGATCAGTCGGGACATTGTGACAGGACACTCACTGTCACAGGAACACTGGAAAAGCATGCAGGTCCAACCCAGTCACTCAGAACCAGAACTAGAGTCGGTCCCAATAGAAGCCATCCAGGAAAGACTCTAACACGTGGAGAGAAGTGTTGATTCACGTTTGTTACTATTAGATCTCCTGGAACTGTCCTACATCACCATGTGTTTAAGAGGCTTCATGAAAAAAATCGGAGACCTAACGGTGACCATTTGGGTCCAACAGAAAGTGACAGCTCAAAGAAAACACCAGATCCAGACAAGATAAATATCAAGGCCACCACTAATGGTGCATTTACACTTTGGGCCAGGAGGGGCAGTCTGCCCCCGTGTGGCCAGGTTGTGTTTACACAGTTTACTCGGGAATGTCGAGCTGGCTCAGGATATGGGTCAGTTCTGCTGAAATGGTGTGGAGACGTCCGTGGTGACACTTAGCACCACATGTTATGGCGCTTACACATCAGCGTCGGCACAGTCCCAAAAGGTACCGAATGGCACCGGAATTTGGTTTCACAAACAGGTCAGATTTGCGTTTTTGGTGCAGAAGCAACTCTTTTTCTCAGACCTTCTCCCAAGCAGTCAGACTGGAACACCTGGCGACGCTACAGTCTAATTGGCCGGCTGAAATCACGCCTACCGCCTCCGATCTGCGAGAAGAAAGAGCCAGCCGGGGAAAGGGGTTCCCGCATGAGCGATTCATTTTCATGCTGGATGTTGTTGCGTAAACTTCTGTCTGTAGCATGGAGCTGCCATTCCGGAGCTGCCGATCAGCGTGGGAATGGGAGAAGAGAATAGCTGTGTGTGTGTGTGTGTGCGCGTGCGTGCATGTGCATGTGTGTGTGTGTGTGTGCGTGCGTGCGCATTCACACACGTGAGATTGTTGTGAGCTAGCGTGTTGATTTAGCTCTACTTGGATGTAGCCATCCTTATGCTGATGAAAACATAACTAACTTTTACTTTGAGTACATATTATTTACGATACTTTTTACCTTTACTTGAGTAAACAAATTGGCAACTAGTTTTACTTGTACTTGAGTAAAAGAATGATTAAAGTAGTGGTACTTGTACTTAAAGAGCAAGACCCCCCTCACCAGAGTCTTACTCCACTCGCACTTCATGTTTGAAAAATGCAACAAATGCTGTTGCCTGGCAGACCAAGGGGGCGGAGCCGCTAAGAAATACACAAACACAGGCTCATAATGACATTGTGACATCATAATGTACCAGCTAACGTCATGGTGTACCTCTTAGCCAATAGGGATGGCAGATTTAAATTCAAATGCAGTGCAGAGTTTTTACCTGACGACAAATGCCAAAACATTTAAATAATTCTCTGTTTTGGATATATATTTTGAATTCTACATACACAAGGGGTATTAATGTTTAGGTCTTCAGTGACAGTCACCTACCTCAAGTGAAAAGTTTTTTTTAATTGATATAATTTATGTTTTATTTGGTAGAAGTACTGGTGATTATTTGCATGTGAATGGACTGTTTGCTAAGTACATTAAAGAATAGAACTAAAACAGGTAAACTTCAACATATTTATAATAAAGTAAAAGTAAAAAGTAGCCGTCCAGAAACATGACTCCGCTAACACAGGCACTGCTTTCGGTTTTATTTCGGGGTGAGCCTTAATTAAACAAGGTAATATCAATATAAGTTGTCATGACTCCCAGGCTGCCACCCTCCTCTGCCTCAGCGGCCTCTTCAATCATGCCCTCAGCCACTTAATTATCATCACCTGGGCCCTGTCATCAGCTCATGCCACACACAGGCCTCCTCTGCTAAATAACACCCAGCCTGCTCTCCAACCAGTGCCAGATTATTGAACGCCACATCTAGTAAATTCCCCAGCTTTCCATCCATCGTCTGTCTCACAATTCAATTCAATTCAAATTCAAAGATACTTTATTAATCCCAGAGGGAAATTAGAGTTTCAGTACACACAATTCAGAGATCAGACATACATGGGCAAGACATGGTGACTGTGGTCATTCGCAACCCGAGTCGCGCTACCTTAATAGAGATCAGGGGGGTACATGAGGATTGATTCAGGTGGAGGAAAAAAAGGCACTTCAGCGTTACCCTCCACC